GGATCTGTCCTTCCAGTGAGCACTCAGGGTTGATTTCCTTTAGAATTGATAGGTTTGTTCTCCTTGCAGTCCAGGGGACTCTCAAGAGCCTCCTCCAGCACCACAATTCAAAACCTTTAATTCTTCGGTGGTCAGCTTTCTTTATGGTCCAGCTCTCGCTTCCATACATCACTACAGGAAAAAACATAGTTTTGACTATGTGGACTTTTGTCAGCAAGATGCTGTCTAGGTTTGTCATTGCTTTCCTCCCAAAAAGCAGGCATCTTTTAATTTCATGGCCGCTGCCACCATCTGATACTGTGGTGTAAAGAAAATCTTACACAACATCAGTAAAACTAAAGAACTCATAATTGATTTTAGGAGGAAGAGAAATGTACATTTATCACTGCACATAAATGGCGAGGAAGTGAAGAGGGTTGATAGTTTTAAATTTCTGGGCACTTATATCTCAGAGGACCTCCCATGGACTATAAATGGCAACATGCTATTGAAGGCGGCACAGAAGAGACTATTTCCTGAGAATGCTCGGGACGTTAAATTTATCTCAGCATTTACTTCTGTCCTACTGTCGTAGCACCATTGAGAGTGTCCTCACCTATGGTATTCTTGTATGGTTTGGGAGTAGCTCTGTAGCGGACAAAAAAGCTCTAAAGAGAACGATTAAAATTGCCCAGAATATCATTGGGCTCCAGCTACCAATCCTGGATGACATCTTCACATCCCGCTGTCTGAGGAAGTCACACAGCATCCTGAGAGACTCTTCCCATCTTGCTTACAACTTTTTTGAACTGTTGCCGTCTGGCAGAAGACATAGAAGAATTAAGACTTGGACCACACGTTTTCTGAATAGTTTTTATTCTATGAGTGACTACGATGGTGGCTGCAACAAAACAGGATTTATTAATAGGGGTTCAGGGACAACTTTCAAACTACCAAACTAACAAGTCCCAGACTAATTACTGTCACTGCCTGGAGTATAAAGTCTGAGTCCACTAGGTCCTCATTTCCTTCCCCTCTGGTTATCCTCACCAAGGGGGAAGGCACCTTACGGTCCCCTACTTGTACCACCCCCCTTCAAGCCTGAGGTGTGGAGCTCACAAGAGAGAGGGGGGGTATTTCTGCCCCAAGGGCAGTGGTGTTACTCTGCCCCCTGGTCTTGTACTGGTTCACTAGCTCCTGGCCCAGTGACATGGGCTTGGCCAGTGTCTCAGCTGGGTTGCAGATGACTTCTTGGGGCCTGGCTGGTCTTTCCAGCACCACCTTTCCCATCACTTGCACTCTTCCTAATTAGAGAGCTTCGGAGACACCTGGGGTTTCAAATGTTTATGCATCTCAGCCCAGGAAACTCTCTGCTGTGCAATTGCCTCCATCCAAAAATCTTCGTAAATATTCCCCCAAGTCACCTAGCAAGTTGGGGAGTTCCACCTTGTCTTGGGAGATCTCAGCAGGCTCCTTGGAGGCATCCTCCCAGGACCTTTCCTCAGCCTCCTCCTCTTCTGCCTCTACTCTGGAGAGCAAGTCTTCTGTTTGAAAGCCCGGCTCCACTATCTCTTGTTCGTTCCTCCCTCCAATGCCTCCCTTACATTGTCTAGATCCAAGAGACCCATCCAGGCCCCTCTAGCAGGTCACTCCTCTGAGCCTGAGCTTCTTGCCTGGGTGACTCCCCACAGGGCTTATGTCTGAGTTCCCTCCTCAAGGCACCTGGTTCAGGTAGTCAAGGTTCCATGGTGATTGACATCCACCAGACTCGTCTTTCCCAAGTCTAGCAGGGAGTTCACGGCCTGGAATTTGGCGGGACCAGCCAGGCAAGGATGGCCTACTGACAGGGGAACTCACAGACCTGTACTTCGCTTATTGAGAAAACACTAGAACTGAACTGAAAGCAGCATTGCAAAATTCCAAACCATGAAGAACAGATCAATTAAGAGAAACAAAAGCCTTTGAAGCAAAAGAATATGAAATGCTCCTACCAGATGGAGATCTGCTAAAAGAATTTACAACCCATCAACAGCTTATAGCGCATGGCTCCGGCGCATGGTTTAGAACGGACTTCACAGACAGCAGTCCTAACACCCAGTGTTTACAGATATTTTTGTGGAACAGAAATAGCTGTTAACACGTGAATTCTGTCAGTAAATATGAAGGACTGAGTAAAAATCCAACTGCGAAAGTATCTGTCATATGTCATAGCAAGGCAAAAATAATGGTTTTCTGTAAATTGTGTGCTTATGTCAAGTCTGGATGAGTTTATTTTTAGGGATCACACTGCTCCATTTTAAAGCTACTGTGTGGGATGCCTCAGCCTATTATTGCACTAACATCACAATTCAACATAGTCCTTGTAGGGAAGTGGTAGGGAAGTGGCTTGAATGGGCCAGTCTTGATCCCCAAGACTGGATAAGACTGGGCTGTGCAGGTATACTTCTGACATCTCTGGCTGCCCAGGCAAAGCACCACCGAGGCTTCCAACTACTTTTTCCATTAAGGACCCAGTTTTTGTTTTAGAGTTTCACAATGTTTAGAGTTCTCCATTTCTCCAAGTGGGGAGACAAGATTTCAAGACAAGTGACTCCAGACGGGAAGAAAGTTTGTCTCATCCACAAACAAAAATTGATTTTTATCTTTTGCTTTAAAGCATGGACATCCATCACTACCTATTCCCAGCTGCAGCCAGGGCTCACACATGCAGTGTGGGTTTTTTGTGTGTGTGTGGCACAGCTAAAACCCAGCAGCAAGAGAGCAGATGGAGGTGAGAGCCAGTGGGTGCCTGCATTTAGGCTCCGTGTGCCATTTAGAGCAAAGCAGGAAGTATAGCACCAGCACTGCAACTTGTGAAACTCCTGGTTGCAGAAGCCATCACAATATTGGTGAAGGGCCGGGTGGGGGGGGGGCAGGAATCTCTTTGTGGGCTGGAAGTGAGCCTTCCACAAACCCCTGCAACGACACAGCTCCTGAGAAAACTGCCTTTATATCTGCTACAAATAAGGCAAGATATGCAGCCACTAACGGCAGTTGTTGCGCGTCTTTTGCTGCCTCCCCAGACACAGGCAATAAGTTTGGCTACTCCCTAGCTCGGAGTTGCCATATGACCCGATTAGCTAGGTTTCTTGGCATTCTGTGCTCCTCTGCCCAGATTCACCTCATTCCAATTTCCACAACCATCTGACGAGGAGGACCAGCTTCACACCCTCTAGACACTACAGGCAGAAGATTCCTTGCCCCGCCCCACCAACCCAGTTAAGACAGGTATTGCATTAAGTGTTCCAACATATCAAACATTTATTAATATCAGAAATGTCAAGAAAGAAAAGTGATGCATTTAAAATACCTTTTTTCCTTACAGACAAAAAAAAAAAATCAAAGATATAGTAGAACTAAGAAACTTCAGTATCTCTTGAGAGCAGATGTTACTGATTTGCCACCTGGGAACGGTGGAGAGTTCCACACTGCAGAACTGGTGCGCTTGAAATAGCGTGGTTTGCTCTTATAAAAGATTTCTTCCAGTTTGGGACTGTTCACGACTCCAAAGAGTGCTCTGGTATCAGGTGGATTGTAATACTGATGTATGATTGCTTGACTTAATTGATTTCCTAAGGGAAAAGAACACGACATGTATTTTCTGGTTCTGCAGGTCTCTCTAAGGTCTGTGCCCTACTGTTTAGAGCAGGTTTCCACAAAATATAGCCTGCCTATAGATTCCCAGTACCCTAATCCCCCACCCGCACCCCCATAAAGTCCCTTGTTCTCTCTAGGGCAGTGAAGGTGTACCTTTTTGGGCCCTAGTGCCCAAACTGGGGGGGGGGGCAGGGGGGGGTGGGGATGGAACCGGAAGTGACAGTGGTGAAACTGGAAGTGGTGGTGGAAGGGAGAATCCTGGGCATGGAGGTGCCTCGAGACTCCACTCTGGATCTGCCACCAGCGCTCCAAATCCTGGCCCACTGCCTGTCGAAGCACCAGCACGATGACTGCAGCTACTTCCTTAGGTTTGGCTGCTGGGAGGGGGGGGAGGAGCAATCTGGTGACTTATGGCTCGCATGCCTGCAGAAAGGGCTCTGCATGCCAGCTGTGCCACACCTTTGCCATCGCTGCTTTAGGAGGTGCACAGGATAACATCCCCATATTCTTTCTCCCTAAGCTACCTGGTTTGCAAGAGTGATTTCAAAACCAGACACAATATGAAACAGCTTTGGAACAGCCAACAATGTAGAAATTACTTCTTGTAGCCGAGAGCACAGGAGAAAATACAGGCCTCCAAGCTCTTTATTTTGCAGACCCTTGTCTTAGAATTCTTAAGGCAGATGACAAGAATTTTCAAGGAACAATGGACAGCTACTTCTAACCTCTCAACACAGTTGTGGAGATAGACTTGTTCCTTCTGCATCCGCCAGGGTGACACGGAAGGCCTTGGGGAGAATCGAGATCAACTCACAAAAGACTTAAAGTTTGGTTACAAATCTTTTTTTGTAAGGTTACTGTTGGGGCAGGGGAATCTTTCTGTGCCTGTGGTTAAGAGAATGGTTGCTAAAAAACCAACAGAGATTGCTTAAACTGGTCAAACTTAGATGTGGTCTGGAGGAGAAATAGATTGCCAGTAGTGATTGACTATTCTGTAAAACTGGCAAATTTTCATCATGTCTTAGTCTCAGCTGCATGAACTGGAATTGTCTTTTAGCTTTCTATATTATATTTTCATCATGTTTTAGTCTCAGCTGCATGAACTTAAAGACTGGAATTGTCTTTTAGCTTTCTATATTAATACAGAAAACCACATTACATGTATGGGCATGCTGAAAGTATGAATATTTCACTTTCTTGCACTGTATCTTGGACGTTTTGAAAAATAAAGCTATGCTAGCAGCCTGGAGGAACAGATGCTAGAAATGAATCTTGACAATGCTCAATCATCAGGCAAGTCCGAGTACCAAGACAGATTCAAACATACCCATTGCCCAAGCAGGGATGGGCTTGCGTGGCTGATTCTCATCATCTGTTGAATCATCACTATTCAAATCCATCCCATAATTATTCAGGTCAAGCTTGGGCTGCTTGGGGCCTTGAGGTGTCATCGGGTATGAATTACAAGCCGGTGAGTTCTGGAAAGAAGGATGGAGAAGAGTTCAAAACTATAGAATTTAGGATTAAGATGTACTGAAATAAGCTGTAGGCCTTTAGAATCCCAAGGGTGCCTTGGAAAGAGGATTCTGTTATTTCCAGCTATAGTAAACTTGTTCAGACAACTGATACAAATATCCCTTTCCTTAGTTTCAAAGGCACCTGTTCCCTCTAACAGTGGGAACTGCAGTGAGATTAAAAAGTAAATTCTTTTAGACAGATTTTCCCAGTTCCGTAGATTCCACTGCTCCTCACAGCTGAAGAGCTGCTGCTCAGAACGGACACTACTTATTGGCATAACCTGAAAGCCCAAAGAAAAATCTTCCCGCTTGACTAGCATTAACACATCTAGCTTATTTTTCCAATCACCTGTGGCAGATCCCAGAAGCTGAATATGTTGCATGTTTCCTTTGGTGTTGTTATGCCTAAATATTTCCTCCCTCCAGTGTAAAATGTCTGGCAAATATTCCATTCCTCCCCCACTTTGCACAATGCTTTTACATTTTGCTGTGCCACTATGTCTGCATCCAGGAAGGCTGGATTTGCCAGATTGGCAAGGATTTTTTTAAAAAACCCCTGCCTCATAAGAGCTGTAAATAGATCCCACTCTAAATTCTGGTGAAACAAAGGAAGTTTGGTACCACTCCGAATGGAATTGTGTACTGAGGGATTGTGCTCTCCCTTTAACAGGATCATCGTGACCCCTTTCAACTACAGTATTCCTCTGTGGTTCAGAACTCACCTCAACACTGATGGTCACATTCATCTGTTTATTAGCCTTCGCCTCAGCCCCTGAGCTGGCTTTCAGCTGCAGCTCTTCTTGCTTTTGCTGTTCCTGCTTAAAATACAAAAGTAAAAGTAAAGGCCGCCCAACACAGACCAAGGACTGTCACTCGTCCCCCAGCTTTGAAGACAAAACGTGTTGTGGACAGTGCTAGAACTCTGAGTGGCCACCAGCGGACAGTGAACGTGAGCAACCAACATGGACTTTGGGCCAAGGAGCCTCTTACCAGTTTCCTTTCTTTCTCCTCCAACTCTTTTCTGAGCCGCTCCTTCTCTTTCGCCGCTGCCAAAACCTCTCTCTGCAAGCGTGCAGCCTTCTCCTTTTCTTGCCGCTCATGCTCCCTGCAAGCAGACGGGCCACGTCACTGTCCAAACCGTACTTTGTGCATGCTTTTAAGCAGAATATGGTGCCAGCATTAGCCAGAGCAACACCACCATATATTCCTTAGTCATACATTTTTTTTTGGGGGGGGGGGGGCGCCGCTGCCAAAACCTCTCTCTGCAAGCGTGCAGCCTTCTCCTTTTCTTGCCGCTCATGCTCCCTGCAAGCAGACGGGCCACGTCACTGTCCAAACCGTACTTTGTGCATGCTTTTAAGCAGAATATGGTGCCAGCATTAGCCAGAGCAACACCACCATATATTCCTTAGTCATACATTTTTTTTTGGGGGGGGGGGGGTTTCTTGACTCTTGTGCATGCTTTTAAGCAAAATATGGTGCCAGCATTAGCCAGAGCAGCACCACCATATATTCCTTAGTCATGCATTTATTTGGGGCGGGGTATTTCTTGACCTTTGCTCTTCAAGATTTCTACACTTTTAAAAGAAAGGCACAGTGAGATATAAGATGGAACAAGAAGCTTGTGTAGCGCTTCTTACTGTTGGGCTTGGAGCTTTTCCTGCTCTTTCTTCCTCTGCAGTTCTCTCTCAGCAGACAGCTTTTTCTCTCTTTCCAGTTCTGCCCGACGTTGGTCTGCAATCTTCCGAGCCTTCTCTTGCTCCTCCTCCTCTTGTCTCTTCTGCATTGGGAGGTTGGGGCAAAACCCACCCACATTAGATTAGCTAAATCGTCCCTCCAACCTCTGGCTACAAATCTGAAATATTTAGTGTTGTTATTTCTCTCTTCAATCCTGAGTTACATTTTTACATCTTAAATGAGAATGATGTGCAATTTTCCAACAGCTCCTCTTCTCAGATTGTCTGCTATGCACTTTAAAGCTTATTTTGATTGTGCGGGGAGAACATTTTGTAAAACAAAACTAACACAGGCTGTGTAGGAACATGGTTTAAAATATAAAGTTACCTAATAGTTGTTGCCATAAATGTAGTAGCCCTGAAAAGAGCCGTGGATTAAACACACACGCACCTGTTTCAATCTTTACAGCTTTGAATTTAGTCTCAGAAAGGAAACTGTTATTCCGCTTTTTCTCAGTAGCCTTCTCATCTGTGCAAGAAACTGCTGCCTCCACCACACACCCCGCCCTTGTTTATATACCCTCCACCTTACTAGTTGCAGTGCTCTCTGTTTACGGGCTTCATCCTCTTGTTTGCGCCGAGCTTCAAGGTCTTCCAACTTCTTGGCAACTGCCTTCTTCTTTATTTTGTCTTCTGCCAATTTGTCCTCTCGCACCTAGAATATAATTTCATGAATTGGTACCCTGTCATCCTTCCAAGGAGTTCTGGGTGCCCCCTTGGGTTTTGCCCCCTTCCCCCATTTTCCTCCCCACAACAACCCTATGTGAGAAAGGTCACCCTGCCAAGTAGTGCCTGTGACAAACCCAGAGTGCCTACCCTAGGTTTTAGGGCTGAGCAGGACCTCACAGTTGAGTTCGGAATCAGACATGGCCTCCTGGGCGGACATGGCAGCATCTTATACCATGATGACCTGGGGCCAAGTACCTTAATCTTCTATCGAGTCTCTTATAGATCATGTTGACCTAGGCATAATACTGCTTTAATAATGCTGCTTTAAATTATATTAGGCATTAATAAAATCGCCACCTTCCCTTTCCTTCCCAGCCTTCCTCCACCCCCCCTTGCAGGCCCAGCGGGCCAAAATCACCACACACACATACACACCCGTAGACCTCCGGGAGCTTACCTGGCCTTCCTCTGCAGCTTTTTCCTAACTGTCGGGGCGAAACAGCTACCAAGAAGCAGCCTCTTTTGCCACCTACAGTTAGAATTTAAATTGCACCCTTTTTTACATTATTCGCTCCATAAGACATACACATCCCCTCCCACTTTTTTTGGGGGGGGAAGTGCATCTTATGGAGTGGAAAATATGGTATATTCTTCTTCTTTATTCATATCAGGTACGGTAAAGGTAAAGATTCCCCTTGACAAATTGTCCAGTTGTGTCCGACTCTAGGAGGCAGTGTTCATCCCCGTTTCCACATGCTTTCAAACTACTAGGTTGGCAGGAGTGTGGATTCTAACTGCTGATCTTTCGACCTTGCAGCCCAGGGCCACCACACCCCTATCAGAGCACTGCAGAATTTAAAATTATAGAATCATAGAGTTGGAAGGGGTATATAAGGCCACCAAGTCCAACACCCTGCTCAATGCAGGAATCCAAATCAAAGCAGATCTGACAGATGGTTCTTCAATTGAATACCTCCATCATTATGGGCCTACATTTCTCCCTTGAACTGCATGGATTCAAACTGCACAGTTTTGGTTATTCAGAGATTTCCTTCCAATAAAGAAGTAAATATCTATTCCAATAGATAAATATTCAATAAATGCCGCACTGCGTCTTGGGCTTACTGAGGCCCCTGCTGTTGTTGATGTGGTGGCCCGATCCAATGGCAGCAGCACAGATGGCCCCTCTCCTGGCATGGCAGCTCCTGTGCAAGGGCATGCCAGGAGACTGACATGGTTCAAGGAGATCTCTATACATGGATGCTAATTAACTGTTTATGCTTTGTAATTATGTTTTTCTGGGCACAAGAGTTACACATGGATTTTGAACTACAAAGGGGCCTGGTGCCTCTAACCTCATTGGTTGTTGAAGGGACAAATGTCTATGAAATATAGGGAAAAAAATTAAAAACAAATTAAAATGATTCCCATTTGTGGTCTTAACAGGGCCGTTGGGTTGTTTTGCTCATCAGCAAGTTTACGGTGTAATGCTTCTGGACGTGAACTGGCCACCTGTACACCATTGCCCAGGGGATGCAAAGGTACTGACTGACACACAGAAACAGTCTGACATCAACCCAGCAGACCATGTTGTGCCATTCTGAAGACAAGGCTTGTTAATCCCTCTCCAGTGCAAAGAGGAATTAGAAGTGCTGCCACTGACCATATCTCAATTTTGTCCTGGTACTGGATGGAAGCCCCATCCTTCCCAAAAGCTCCGTGACCACCTTCCACTTTACCTTCTCATGTTTTTCCTCATGCTGAGCATGCTTCTGCTCAAACCGCTTCTTCTTCTCCTCTTCCAGTCGCTCGGCCTGCTCCCGAGCCTGCGCCACCTTGCGAAGGCGCTCCGCCCGCTTCCTGATGGCACACGAGAGTCCGGGTGAGCAATGAATTCCAAGACCAAGGAGAAAAGGAGCACCTGGAAGGACACACACTCACCGCTTCATCTCTTCCAAACGCCGCCTTTTTTCCTCCTCCAATTTCTGCCTTCGCTGTTGCTCAGCCTCCTCCTTCTTCCGCAGATTTTCAAACCGTTGCCTTTCTTTTTCCTGCAGAGAGAGGAGACGCTGATGTTGGCACTTGCTTTTAAGAAGGTGCCTGGCTGCAGCAGACAAAAGGCAGGCAAACAAAGTCAGCCAAGGAACGAAGGCCCTCTTTTCTTCTCTCGCTACTGTGGCAAAGGCACTGAATAGTGACATTAGCCGTGGTAGGAGAATATGCACTGGCCTCACCAAGAGTCACAGTCCCAATGTGGCCACCTGCTTCCTTTTTCTATGAACAAGGTAGGTAATGTGAGCTGGAACAGTTTTTGGCATGCCAAACACTTCGCTCCCTTCCACACCTCAGCCACTGCAAAGAGCAATGAAACCATACCGCAAAAAGCAACCGGACCACACTCATTATAATATGCAAATCAGAACTTGGGGAAAGTTAGCTTTTTGGACTACAACTCCCAGAAGCTCATAACTAGGAGTCCAAATAACTAATTTATCCAGGCTCTGAACTAAATACTATTGTTAGACCTGAAACAAGCATCTTTTTTTGTTTTGGAAAGGCTCTGCCACAAGGTTGTTGTACTATAGGGTAGGAAAGAGATTTGCACTGACTCAGTAAGTGTCAGTAATTTCTGCTTACGTTCTCAAAGTACTGCTCCTCCCACCCTTTGCAATACCAGCTTCTCATTACAGAAGGAGCCACACTTCATCAAGACTTTCAAGAGATCATTAAACAGTGCCACCCAGTTCAACATACAGTACAGGGTGCCTCTTGCTACACAGAACCAGCTTAAGTATCACAATGCTATAATGGAAGAGTATTGCAAAAAAGATTATGTCCCACCCAGCTGCCATGCCACGAGAGCTCTTTCCAAGACTGAATCAGGCAACCCTGGCTGCAAGACAAAATCTTTTGAGATTGATGCGGAAGCTTCAGATGGTGCAGAACGCGGCAACCAGACTACTTAGTTGGACGAGAAAACATATCTCTCCCACTCTGGCTGCCTTGCATTGGCTGCCCATTTGTTTCCGCATTGATTTCAAAGCGTTAATGATGACATATAAAGCCCTAAACAGTTTAGGACCTTGATATCTAGCAGAACGCCTTCTCCCACCTAGATCTACTCGAGTCACTCATCAAAGCCAAGAAAAACGGCTGAGGGGCCTAACACTGAGAGAGGCCCAGAAAGAAAGAACTAGAAACCAGGCCTTCTTGGCAGTGGCCCCTCGACTTTGGAACAGCCTGCCGTCAGAGATCTGTCCGGCACCCTCGCTGGGTGTTTTTAAGACAATTAAAGACTTGGCTCTTTAAGGCAGGCCTTCCCTCCTGTCAATACTTGACTTTTATTTCTTGCTTAGTCTTTTGTTTATATTTTCCCATCTTGATTAATATTTATTGTCGATTTAATTGTTGTTTTAACTGTTTTATGCAATTATTTTATTGTAAGCTGCCCTGAGTAGACATTGTCTAGAAGGGCGGGATAAAAATCTATTAAATAAAAATAAAATCCTGAACAAAGGAGCTACATCCACACTAAGAAGCAACAAGGAGGAGCAAGAGAAATGCATGTCAGAAAAAAGAACTGTCTCCCTTTTCTGACCCTGAAACATCAAAAACAGTTATATCAAGCCGTAATTAGGAGGAAACAAGCAAGCAAATCCACTGCAGAGGGAGCAGGAGAAGGAAGAAAGGAGAAATCTTGGGCCAAGTTAGGCTTGGGCCATCCCTGAGGGGTTTCCTTCTGCTTCAACTTTCATGTCACTGCTGTGAGTTAGCAGCAGTTCCATTTTCGCAAAGCCCTAGCTGTCAACCCATAGGAAAGCCTGCCGACTGAGAAGGGACCCAACTTTACATCTGACTTTACCCGACCCTCCTTTGACGGGGAGGTAAGCCCACAGACAGGATGAAACCATGTCATTGGCTTCTTGTCTAGGAGAGTTATTCTCAAGTTTCTTTCTAGTCTTAATTCCTTGAACACTCAAACTCTCAATAGTTCTATTCCATTCCATTCACAAAATAAACAATTGTTGTAATGGGATGTATCTCAGTACTAGATATCATCTGGAACACTGTTTCCAGTTCTGGGCATCATAGTTTAAGAAGGATATTGAGAAGCTAGAATGTTCTCCACAGGAGGATGACCAGAATGGCAAAAGGTCTAGAATCCAAGCCCTTCCAGACATTTACAATTGAGGGAGCTGCGTATGTCGAGCCTACAGAAGCCAAGACCGAGAGGTGATATGATCCCCATCCTCAACTATTTGAAAGGCTGTGACCTGGAAAATGGAGCATGTTTGTCTTCTGTAGCTCCACTAGGTAAAAACCGAAGTAATGGATTCAAATTATGACAAATGAAGATTTTTCTTAAACATTAGGATGACTAATGTAAGGCTAATTAGCAAGAGCATTTCCAAAGTAGAATAAACTACTCAGAGGGTGGCAGACTCTCTTTCACTGAGGGTTCTTAAACAAGTTGGAAAGCCACTTGTCATGGATACTTTAGCTGTGGATATCCTGCTTCCACAGGAAGTTTGATTCCATGACTCTTCAGGTTCCTTCCAGCTTAACAGCTCTATGAATCTATGCATGACAGTCCTACCTTCCCTCTTTTTCAAACTAACCATATATTGGCTGGCTGCAACTGTTATCCCTAGGGTGCTGTCTAAGACTCTTACCAGTACATCCCACTCAAGTCACTGGGACTTGCTTCTAAGCACATGTGCCAAACATTCTTTTCCTCCTTGCTCAATTTAATATGCATGATTTTGATGGTAAATGTTACATAGGTTAATTAGTGAAAATAAAAGGCTACAATTAACCGTGGAAAGACTGGATGATTAGGATAATATGGATTAGATCATAAAAAGGGTAACAATGGTATTAGAAATAAGCAATGACTAAGTACTCTGGAATCACTCTTCTACTTTGTTATCTTTGACCTTTCTAATCTATAATAAACTGAATGCAAAAATGCAATTAAACTGAAATGTTTACTTAAACAGCAAACATGAACCATATTTTGGAAGAGTCATGATTCTTTTAATACCCAGAGAATACAATATCACTTATAACTGTACATCCATTAACTATTTTTTTTAGTAAGCTGTTATTGCAAAAGCACTAAATAAATGCTCAAGCTTTTCTAATATTAGGTCATGGATGCCATTAGACAACACAGTGTTAATGATATGCAAATACACCTACACATCAATTTTGTTACTTACAACGAACCCTCCCTGTACAAAGAGAAGAGGGCAACAGAGTTAATACCACCGGCAATTGCAATCCGAGTTCAACTCAACATTTATTGCCAAAATCATTACAGGGCTAAACTGCCTTTGCAAGACTAATTCAGGATGTTGCACTTTTAGCACCAAGCTTTGTAGTCTATAGAGTGAATTTTTGTTTTAATCTACACCTAGGTTCAGCTGCATGAGAATTCATGTAAGGCCAATAGTAAAGAATTATAGGAAAATTGTGGCAGAATACTGAACTACTAACTACAAGGGCCTGTTGTTTAGGTTTTTTGGGTTCCAACTCCCAGAATTCCCCAAGAATCCCTTGGGCAAAATTCGGGCAATTCTTGCCCACAGATACACATCTACAGATACCTGTACTTTACTCACCTGGAACATGCCTCTCTTCCAGGCTATCTCAGGCCTACGTCCTGTACAAAAGAATCTGCCCCAGGACTTCTTGAGAGGGCTAGGTCTTTATGGGAGCCTTAGCCTTGCTGCCCATTAAGCTCTACTACAGGGCTCTTCTGAAGAACTATGTCTCCTACAATAACCTTGGCTTCCTGAGGTAACAGCACAGTTATCTTTTTGTACAGGAGGAGAGGCCTGTTCCAGGGGTGTGAAATATAGCTCCGTGTCTATAGGCAGGAACTTCCAGAATTTTGCCTGGGGAATTCTGGGAGTTGGAGACCGAAATAATAAAACTGGGACACTCTTAGTGCACAATCACCCAATTTTCAAATGCACACATCTGCACAATATGATTGGACAGTTCAAGTCAATGTATTGATTTTGGTCTTCCACATTCCAGGTGCATCAGCTTTTTTGCCTACCTATTTTTTACACTAGAACTCATGACCATACACCCCATGATTTATTTTTTTTTGCACAAACCCACTTTCTCTTTGATTCCTTACTTTTGCAGCTCCTTGCTTCTCCCACCTATTATTCTCCTCCCACTTTTCTATCTCCTACTTTCTTCAAGTCACACAAACTGCAGCTTTTACTCTTCTCTATCCACAGTCCCCAAATCCAGGTTTTACTGTTCTCAGTTGGGATGTGGCATGGACTATTTCTTTATTTACACCCATGCCCAGTTTCAAAGCTCTTCATTGTTACTCCAAAATAGATCTGAATAATGTCTACAAAGCCTGGACATTCCTGCAAGTTCATGAGTACGAGTGAAAGAAACTCAGCACTGAAAAGAGCTCTTGAAAAATAACAGTGAAAGAAAAGGAAAGCCCTTTAATTCTTCATGAATAGAGTGGTTATTATTTTTCTCATTGTTATTGCTACTCAAGAGGACCTAAATCTAATTGCTAGTCTCTATTAGAATAGACCCATTGAACCAATGGGAACATGACAGATCTCATCAATTCAGTAAGTATACAGTGGTGCCTCGCATAGCGAGGTTAATCCGTTCCGGATTAACCTTCGCTATGCTGAAGCATCGTTGAATGGGGCAGGGAATTCCATTGGAACGCATTAAACATGGTTTAATGCGTTCCAAATGGGCCGAATATTCACCGTTCAGCGATGCTTCTTAATGGCCGGCAGCCATTTTCGCGCCCTCCCCTCGCTTAACGAGGTCGCGAAAACGCTGCGCGTGGCCATTTTGGGCCATTTCCGGGCTTCCGGCAGCCATTTTGGCCGCTGAACAGCTGATCGTCGGGCTTCGTTTTGCGAAGATCGGTAAGCGAAACGCTTACTGATCTTCGCAAAGCGAATTTTGCCCTATCTAAAAAACGTTGAGCGATCGCATTAGCGATCCCAAAAAAGGGATCGCTATGCGATTTTGTCGTTGTACGGTGCGCTCGTTAAGCGAGGCACCACTGTACTTTACTTCTGATTGACAACTGGATTTTGTCCAAGGTAATTTTCAATTCAGAAACCACCTCCCCTATTTCCACTCAATTAAATTACCTGGGCAGGGGTCCGTAGGGGAGTGTTTTGCTTGAGAAATGATTTTATAGTGTTGTTTCGGCTCACAGAGCCAGGAGTCATCATAAGCACTTGATTCTTATGAACAGTATGCAAGAATGTCTTGAAAGGACGGGAAACCTGAAGAGAACAGAATATTATCAGTTAATACAAAGCTTTTGAGGGACTTGACACACTTCCAAGTGCATATCTTACCTTATTGGTGAGACACTGAGGAGATGGCGCCTTTTTCCTTGGTGGTGAAAGCTTTTCTTCTGCATACTGTTCATCATTTATATCAAGTGCTCTCTTGTAGCTTGACTGCCTCCTGTAGATTATTTATTGTTGTATAAATGTTAATGTGGGCCTTTTCCATAGAGCATTCACTCTAAGCTGTCTATACCATTCCTTTTCTTGGAGATACTGTAGAAACTGAAGTACCCTGGTACCATCTTTAGGCTTTTGGACATCATCTGATACCAAAAGACACCACCACTGTGAGTCCCTTAATGGATAGAAAGGATCCAGAAACAAATGGCAGCTCAGGTATGTATCTTAATGAGTCTTCCTTGGCATGGGAGGTTGTCCTCATTCAAAGTGATGCCCTCCAGGCATAAATGGAGTGCAGCTGCCAGCAAAACTAGTGAACTGGGATGCTGGGAGTTTCACTGTGACAGCTAGAAGACACCACTTCTACACATCCTGTCCTAGTCCACCGACATCCTATCATAAGAACTACTGGGCCACATGCCACATTATATACAGCCCAGTCTGAAAATTCTCCCTTCCTTAGGCACAAAAAAGCTACAAGAAACCTTTTCCTATCTCCGCCTTTCATTTCCTTTCTTCCACCAAGCAGTCATCTCCCCTCTACACCTTTATATCTGTACTGTCTGCAACCTGTGCATGGCTCTATCAAGCAAGCAGGGCAGAGTTGCACAGTAAACACTATGCCTTGGATTTTACTGTAAGTGGGAACAATGATAGTCTTGCTCACAAGCATTTAACTTATTCACATTAGTGTATGCTTTATGGGTAAAAACCTAGAAACACTCATTTAAACAAACCCGCCATGAATATTCTTCAAAGGAAACATACTTGATAATCTGCGGCTGCTTCTGCATGTCTTCACACTTTTGAGAAGTATCATCTGCACAGAGAACAGCCATTTAGTGATGAATGAAGTATAACATACAGAAAAGCCTGGTGTCAGTGATGATTACTCATTAACTAGCACCTTCATGGGACATGGGCTTATCTCTGTGAAGGCCCATCCTGGTTTATGGAGAAGAAGCTACCCAGGAATGGATGAGTCTTTCTTTAGCCCAGAGTCCAGGCAGGGGAAGTGTATTTTAAAAATATTAACAGGCATGTTCCACAAGCTTCTCCATTTTTCCTTCCTCAACAGAGCCAGATAGAGGAGGAGCCTGGTAGGAAATTTAGAAGACAAGTACCAGTGAATTAGAGTGGAAGTCAGCCAGTGGTTGGGTGGAACTGGATGTTTCCTGCTCTGCAGACCAGAGTGGGCCACTCTGGGGGCAAACAGTGTCCCATGCTCAGTCTGAGAGAAAGAGCCATCCAGGAATAAGACCTACCCAAGAAGGTTCTAGGTCTATAGAAAGAGAGAGGTCCAGGTCTTCAATCAGAAACTATTTATTGAAGAGCATGTCTGCCAAAGACAGCTGCTCCTGAAGCACATTTGTCAGAAGCCACAAATGGGAAAGTGCATGAAGAGAGGCCTATTCTGGGCAAAGTAGGAGAAGAACAAACTGAGGCGCTTGTGGAACAAGCCTGTGAAGCTCTTCTATATTCACTTCCTCTGCCTGGTCTGGAAGAACCAAGGAAAGAATTAACCCATTCCTAGATGGCTCCTTCCCGTAGACTCATGTCTGTATATCTACTGTGCAAGTGTGAAATTTCATCAGGAACACAATGCTCCTAGTTCCCACTACACAAATATCAAAAGCAGGTTTCCATCCATTATCTGAGATGTGCTTAGGAATCAACTGAAGAAACTCACATTGGCTTCTATTAATCAGCATAATGTGGCATATTTTTACCAGACATGTGTTATACTGGATAAAATTAGGTCAAAATTAGCAATAAATTTAGAAAATACAATCCTAATCATTGGTAAATAGCACTGTGTAATAGTCTACAAAATTTTGTAGAATCACAGTTGTGTACATGAAGCAAGCAAACACAACTAGCAAAATTGCTTCTTCCGGTTATGTTCAACTGTTGTGATCAAGTTTGCTATACCGTTCACCAAATTCATTACAAATCCATCAAGTGCTCGTGGCAGTAAACATCATACCCCCATAAGAATTCTGCAAGGTAGTTTAAGTTAACTTAACAGCTGGCCCAGATTCAACCAGTTAACAGCATAATGAAGTGTAAAAATGAGCTAGGCCTCCTCAGTTCAGGACTGGAAAATATGTGGCCAACAAGGTGAACTCCAATTCCACTCCCCACTCAGGCCAAGTCAGTCTGGCCAACAGAGATAGATGATGATGGGTATAGCAGCTCACAAATATCTGGAGTGCCACAAATTGCTTGGCAATCCCTTTGTTGAAGGTGAATGGAAAGAACATGTTCCTTCCATCTAAAACAGTGGTTCTCAAACTTGGGTACCTAGATGTTCTTGAACTACAATTCTTAGAAATCTTCGCCAGCACAGCTAGTGGGGAAGGCTCCTGGGCTTTTTATACAAAGAACATCTGGGAATCCCAAAGTTGGGAAGCACTGATCTAAAAAATTGTTTGTGCTTCCTTAAAGTTAATCTGTCTTCCCGACAACTGAGCCTCTTTGCTACTCAGTCAGCCGGTAACGGTGAGTACACTGACCCTTGCACTCTCCTCCTGCTTGGTCACCCTGAGGTTGGAGAGCTGTAGTCATGCTGGCCTTGTGAGATCGAAGAGATATCCTGGGGTTTTCAACAACTGTCTGTAAAGGCAAACAGGTTGTCAACACAGTCCTCTTCACACATACAAGCACATGAACTCATTAGTTGGACAGGTGACCCTCCCTTTGACAATTTACTTCAAACATATTGTTATGACAGAAGAAACTCCATCCAACTGGAGAGATGACTTTGATATTTCAGCAAAGGAACAGTGGAGAGGAACTGTTTTGTCTGTTATTTTAGGCCAACTCTCTGGTCCATGAACGTTTCTGTCATCAGACGATCTCTGAACAGGAGTATAAAACACAAGATACAATATATCGACTCAGGCCTGAGGTTTTCACAAAGGCAAGTGCTGTAGCCTGGCAAACTTATTTTGGTCTCTGAGCTGGAAGTCCTCCATTCCTGCTCCTCCACCACACACTGTATTTAAAATTCTACGTGTTACCCTAACAAAAGAGTGAAGAAAAATCAATGATTTTTTTTAAAAAATCACACTGATTTAAACCATAATTTAATTATTTTAAACAATGATATTTTTATTTAAATTGTCAAAAAATAAAAATAAATGCAATTCTTTTGATTTAAATCAAATCCAGCCTGCCTAACAGTGCCAGTCTTTCTATGTCTAAATTTATTCAGTGAAATGATGGTCCCCACAGGTAATGAGGAACAAAATGGTCTCCTTAGGATTTTCATTTTTCACTTTTACCCTTTGCAGAACTTACCTCTTCCGAATTAGGATCTAACTTCAGCCTGGGGAAGAAAACATAAGATATACATAGTAATACAGAAGCAAAAACTGGTGAATTCCTTTCAACCTTTTGTCTTATAGCAAGGTCTTAAACTAAATACATCTTACTATTTTGTGTTTAAATAATCCAACCTATCACCTGTACTAATACTGTACAACAAGACTTCTTTTTGCTCTTCTACCCCCTGTAGCTTTCTAAATCACTGATGGGCAATTTCTGGAGGTCTGGGGGTTCCTCTTCTCCCCTGGATTCTAGAGACCTCACTGTCTGTTTCCTAAAAAAATAAACTTGATCACTTCCAATTTTAAGCTTAAAACAGCACATCAGAGGCTGAAAACATGGCAAAACTAGCCCCCCCAGAAGTTGGGAGTGACCATTTCAACAACAAATGAAAACATCAGGGGAGTGCTACATTGAGGTCCTTGGTGACTGGCTTAATCTTCCCAAAGGTCCTCCCCAACTCTCTGAAGCAGACCCAGAGGGGCTGCAGAGGGGCAGAATATCTGTTCTGCCTGCACTTTATTTTAGACAGCCTGAAATGGATGCAACAATAAGATTTAATTAAAATAACCTCACCCAGATTCAGAAGCTTCTTCCGCCACTAACTTCTCTGAAATCATCTGAGCTGAAGAGGAAGAGACACAAATCTTTTTTCAACCAGGAAATAGGAGCAGAATGAAAAATCTAGTATTTTGGTGCATACAGAGACATTCTGTCTCTTACTGGACTTCACTACATGTAGCAACACCCTGGATCTCCATAAGAATCAGTAGGGTTTGGTATACACTAAAGAGCAAAGATCTGTATTTCAGCTGAACCAGAAAGATCATGAAGCAGATCAGAAAGCAAAGTCTGCAGCCTTGACATTTCCTTTGTCAATTTCATTCAGAAAGAAGCCTGGAAGATCTTCACAGATTAAGACCTGGTAGCAGGATTTCAAACCAAACTGGAGTTTGGAGCATTAAGTGCACTACCTACCTGAGACAATGGTCAGAAGATGTAGGTGGACATCTTGCAGCCTTCTGGGTGCACTTGTTTGTGTCACTGAACCCAATGATAGCACCATAGACCCAAACTAGCTCCAGATACCTCACACCCTCCTGTTTTCTCAGCAGATATTCTCATGCATAACCTTCAACCTGTCCACTTTCGTGTTGACAACAAGTGTAGCAGACTACATTCCCCTTTATATGCTCATTCAAACAAGACATTTGTGAAAAATTACCGGACATCTCACAGCTGCTTAACGCTGAGAAATAGCCCATTATCTTCTCACTACTGGCAACCGTTATTTGGATTACTCTCCTCATTGCATAATACAAAAGGCAAAGATATTGAAGAATTTTAAACATGTCTTTTAAATGTAGGTATTTATACGCAAACAAAAAAAAATCATTTTTAAACAAAGAACACGTTTTAAAATAATTTTAGTAATATTAAACAAAAGACTCTCCTGACTCGTTTAAATATAAATGAATTGCATCATAAGCACCCTAGCTAAACCTATACTTGGGGTCTCATAAAATGTTATTAGTGGCTATGTTGCTCTCATGAAAACTAAGTCACCTACAATCAAATAGACTGGTATGGATATCTCAGTAGTTTAGGTTTCCGGCTGTGGAAACAATGTTGGGAATTTTCCCCCCATTGTGCCTCCTGTGATAAGAACCAGCCTGTGTGGCAATCAAGTTACCAGTTCTTGCTTCAAGATTCTGTTTTTTCAGCAGACTAAGCCAACATGACATACAGTACAAAGATACAGGATAAATGGAACTGTGATCATATATGTGGAACTGGACAAGGAAGGCAGAGTAAATATTGAAGACAGAGACAATACAGGAAAGGAAGATGGGTATGGTGGCCCAGAAACCTAACTCTGGCATCTAGTTGCCTGGTTCAAGACCTGCCAGCATCTGCATCCATATGGCTTCCTGGAGACTTCTGTGTGAGCAGCACACACAACCTAAGAGGTTGTCCCAAGGATAATACTATATAATATGCCATGATGTCCACAAATGGGTATGTAGGTGCCATATAAGTATGTATTTATATTCTAGATAAAAACAAAAGCCAGCAATGTTGAATCACAAATCTGAAAATTCACAGCTTTCCAGATTCAATTTAACAAACTGAATCATTATTAAGGAAGAATTCAAAAAGACAATTCTTGTAATAAAAAGAAAAAAACCCTGATGGATGACAGAAGGACACTTAAAACTGTAAAGGGTAGTCGAGATGCAAAAATAGAAGGTGACAGAAGTAGAGCCAGAGTTCTGAAACTAGTGCAAAGAAGTAGAGAAAAACAAAAGGGAAAAACAAGACATCTCTTCAAAAGATCCAAGAAATCAAAGGGGAATTTAAGTCTAGATTAGGAATGATGAAAAACCAGGAAAGCACATTATCCGACCAGGGGAAAATAAACAGAAGATGGAAACAGTATGCTGAAGCCCCATCGAGAAGAGATAAAAGGATGACAGATTCCTTTAAAGAGGAATCCTATGATCATACTCCAGTTCTAGAAAGTGAAGATGCTTGGAAAACACTAGGAAAAAATAAATTACCAGGGGTAGATGGGATACCAATAGAACTATTTCAAGCCGCAGAGACTGAATCTATCAAAATCCCAACAAGAATATGCCAATAAATATGGAAAATAAAACAATGACTCACAGACTGGAAATGTTCAAGATGCAGTCCAATTCCCAAGAAAGGAGATGCCAAAGACTGCAGTAACTATTAATTTCCCATGCAAGCAAAGTGATGCTCAAAGAGTTTCTTTTTTACTTTGGAGTGAGAAATGCCTGATATTCTAGCTGGATTCCAAAAAGGAAGCCACACTAAAGATCATATTGTACATATCCCACTGGCTATTGGAGAGCACCAAATAATTTCAGAAGATCCATCTATGCTTTACAGAATACAGCAAAACCTTTGTCTAGATCATGAGAAGCTTCAGATTCTGTTGAAAGAAATGGGTGTGCTTCAGCACTTGTCTGTCCTGATGCATTAACTGTATTGTGGACAAGAAGCTATCATTAGGACAGAATATGGGGAGACAGAATGGTTTCCTATAGGCAAAGATGTCAAAAAAGAGTGAATTTTATCTCCATATCATCTGTTCAAGCTTTATGTAGAACATATCAAATGGATAGCCAACTCAGATTCAGATGAAGGAAGAGTGAAAACTGGGGGAAGAAACATGAATAATTTAAGATATGCAGATGACACCGTCTTATTGACAGAAAGCAGCAACGACTTGAAACGATTTTGATGAAAATGAAAGGAAAAAAAATGTCAAAACAGGACTCTGGTTGAACATGAAGACAAAAAAAAATCCTGACTACAGAAGAACTACACAATTTTAATCTGACAATGGAAAATTAAAGTAGTATTCCATGTTTCAATCATCAATCCAAATGAAGACTGTGGCCAAGAAATGAGAGGACTGAGACTTGGAAGGGCAGAATGCAGGAGTAAGCGAAAATGGCTGCGCTATGGAGGATCTTCGCTAGACAGTGAGTTTCAAGCCCATAGGAACGCATTAATCGGGTTTTAATGCGTTTCTATGGGCTTTTTAATTTCACTTTACAATGTTTTCATTCTATAGCAATTTTGCTGGAATGAATTAACATCGTAATGTGAAGCACTACTGTATAGAGAACCTGGTACAAGGATGGAAACAGGGGCATGTGGAACGAGAAAAAGAACATGACTGTTGTCTATTGACACACCTGCAGATGAGCTTCAGAGGGCAAGAGGACAAACACCAACACCCAGAAGCCAGAATCAGAACATTTAAATTTCCCAAGATCTCATGGATCTCAAAACGAGTTTTTTGTAGAAAAAAAGAAATTACAAAGGGAGATTTGAAAGGAAGATAGGTGAAGTGGTTGTTTATTTGTGGTGGCAGTTTGTATAGAATGCATAGGCATTTCTGTTTTATAATTCTGTAAGTTATCTTGCACAAATAACACTGTGCCATCTCCAGCTTTTTTGGTGAGCAATACTGTGTCTTGCAAAGTGCTTCACTCCTTCTGAAGGAAAAATGTTTTGTCAGAGGGCAGTTTAAAATAAATGTTTTCAGTTGTTCCACTGAAAGAACTGAAAAGTGTCTTTGAAGAAGAAAAAGAGGAATTTTCCTGATTTCCCTCCCCCCAAAATTCACATTTCCCCCTTCATATCAGGGTGTATTTAAAAAATCCATGATTTTTAAAATCATGATTCAAATTTTAAGATTTTTAAATTTTAAATAATCAAAATCTCTTTTTAAAATTTAACTCAGGATTTTAAACAATTTGATTTAATCAAATCCACCCTGCTTCCTATCACTAGCAACATCAAATTAAACGGACAGTAGGTGGCTTCAGCACACCTACAGACATAAAAGAAAAAAGGATCAGGGAGACAAAACCAGACATGGCTGCCTCGTGAGGCTGAAAGGTATAACTCGTGCACTTACAAGCAGCTGATGATTGCTGGCCTTTTTTACGCTTGGACAAACTCCTGGTAACAGATTTCCGAACCATTCTTTCCCTCTGGATGCTTAATGAGTACGTCTCAACCAAAGAGGCTTTGGAGTTCATTGAGCGTCTACCCATTAGGCTTCGGCGTACTGACCGACGGTTTGCCTTTGGTGCCGTGGGTGTCTGTGGACTCTCAGCTAAGTTCTGTGCCGCTTCAGTTTCACACGACTTGCAATCTTCTTGTTGCTGGTCACAAATATTTTCTTGCTGAGTGGTGGCTTCTTTCTTTTCAGGGGTTTTAGGAATCGACATATTTGCAATTTTCATCTTGGAAGCTCCCCGTCCCTCTTTTGTAATGTTTGTTTCAGGGGTGTCTGGGATCACAATCAAAGAAGCTTTAGACAAAGGTTGTGATTCCTTTATGGGGGACTTGCCATTCGACAGCAAAGTGATGCTCCGAGCAACACTCCCTGTTAGGGGTGATGATTGCTTCACCTGCAATTCTGCACTGTGTCTCTCATTAGCACTGATTTCTACCAGGGGTATCCGCCCTTTGGTTAAATCGATACTCAGTTTCTTGAAAGAATCCTGTGAGGGCCTGGCAGACCTCATCGCCCGAGATCGAGTCACACGATGACAAGGTGAAGAAGTCTCAGCATCAATCATCATGTCTGAATCTTTTCTGTGCTGGAGATTTTGGCCAGTCTGTTTAGAAGATGACGACCGGGTACTGTACCTTTTTGACAACCTAATAAATTGAGCACACTTGTCAGGAAGGTGGGGGCAATCTAGTTCACTGCAGAGAACAACTGGCAGAGAAGCTAGGGAAGGTGCAAAACGAACTTTATATTTACACTTTTAAGAAAACAGAAAAACAGCTTACTAGAACAAAATAGATAAGGGCTTTTGAATAAACAGAGCAAATTCTCAGCCATTCAGTGCTAATAATTCAACTAATAACATAGCTGAACTGATAAAATAAATTGGGAAATTATTGTGCTCCAAATATTAGAGACACACTTTGCACTGACAGCCCAATCAAACAAAGCAATGTGGTAGAGGGGAGACATATGCTTCTTTGTACATTGCATTTTTTTTTCTTTTGACATTATAGAAACTGACAGCACTCTTTGGATTCTATGCAGAGTGTGTGTCGTTTCAGAAACAGAAATAAATGCAGACAAATTGGAAGTTACATTGCTTTCCTAGGTCATAGTACTCCATCAGAGCATTATGACAAAGCTTTCATGCCCTCAAACTGTCTCCCTCAAGCTTGCCAACCTGATGGTCAAAGTTATATATATATATATATTAAAAATTCCCAAACATTTGGACTAATTGGTTTGTGAGAAGGTTGCTCATGTAAGAGCAATCCTCATTAAGATGGACATCAAGATAAAGAACTCCTATGCCACAAACCCAAGTGGGGTGGGAAGACAAAGTACCAGATCCCCGACCACCACTTCCAAAACCTACTGGTTCATGCTGGGCTAGCCAGACATTGAAGCAGAGAGCAATTTCCATTTCCTACTGGAGTCTGTGGAAGAGGAAAAGCTTATACCAGCCTCAGCTAACAGCAAATTTATATCAATAGTAAAAACTGGGGCCTTCAGGATGGAGCCACCCTTTCCCTAACTCACACCTGCTAGCAGATCCAGAGTGAGCATTTCTCTGCTAATTCTAGGTTTTAGGGGAAAAAAATCTATAGATTAAATATGGATAAACCATCAGATGAATAAAGATACAGTAATAAATAAGGGTGGGGGAAAGTATCTTGGATATAACATGCATTCTCTCTCCGAAGACATTTTTCCTTCCCCCTTCCCAAATGAAAAGCAAAACAAAAGCAAAGCAAAGTGTGCTGCTTATATACCGCCCCATAGTGCTTCAAGCACTCTCTGGGCAGTTTACAAGTTAATTATGCAGGCTACACATTGCCCCCCCCCAGCGAGCTGGGTACTCATTTTACCGACCTCGGAAGGATAGAAGGCTTGAGCCAGCTGCCTGGGATTGAACCTCAGGTCGTGAGCACAGTTTTGGCTGCAGTACAGCGGTTTAACCACTGCGCCACGAGGCTCAGTAAGTGAGTGCTTCTTCCTAGATGGTGCTATCACACACTGCTTTTAAATGTTTCAAACTTTTCCTAGTAACTATTTTCATTCCTCAAAAGATTTCTAACAGATTAGAGAAACACTACAGTCCTAATCCTCATTAATTATCTCATCAAACTGGAATGTTAAGCACTACTCAGTAAGCATCCTAGACAACCATGCACAGGGCCAGACACGCAGAACGTTCATCCTACCTCTTTTTGGAAAACTGATCTTTCTTAACAGAAGATAAGTGCTTCTTTTTCTGGCGGTTTTTCTGTGATGGAGTTTTTGGCATCAGTAGTGGTTCTCCACTGGAATTACTGTTTTGACAAATGAGCAGCAAGAGCAATAGATTAAATTATAGTCAGCTACGTACCTTTAGCTAACAAATTTTTAGACAGCTGATTTAACAAGTGGCCAAATCAATAGCTTGTTGGCAAATCTACAGTTTGATAAGGACTTTATAATAACTCATAAAGTCATTTTTTTTATTTAAAACCAAACCATACAATTAATGCTGCAGGTCTAGCACAACTGGAACCGTTCTCAGGAAGACCAAGGAATATAAATATCTTCTTTTGAAGAGCTGGCCTCCTGACAGAGCCAAATTGCACACATTTTCCCAATATTCTCACAGGATACTCAGGCTATTGTCCCATCTTTCATTTTTGGAATGGTTAGGATAATTAGACTGTTCTGGTGCCAGTCTGTGCTTCAACTTCACCACTGTACAAAAATACTCCTAAAAACCTTTTGCATATTAACACATAAGTGATAGATTGAACTGATTAAGTTCTAGACTGTAAAATTTCAGACAGCTAATGTAATAAAACAGCATATCAGAAAGTTATGTACTAAAAATATAACCTTAGTCTCCAAGGAATCATTTTTGTTTTAAAGAAAATGCCAGACTGAAATTTTACTTGTCTGGACAGATAAGTGTGAATTGCAAAATGAGCATGTGCTATGTGACTAATTTTTTTTAAACATGCTCCTAGGTTACAGCAAAGCTCAATTCAGTTGCAAGCCAATGTATTCTGTCAGAGCATCCAGACAAGGTTCATTCCTAGTCAGGAAATTTTATTTTAATCAGGGTCCATCCACACTGAACATCTGTTCAGCTTTGCTTGCAGTCACAATACAGGTACTGCATCTTAGTGACTACATAACATAGGACTGAAACTAGTGTCAACAGAGACGAAGTAGAACAAAAAGCTTTGCTCGGTGTTGATTTTCTTGAATGCACAATCAGCATACTTTGTGGGTGTTTTATCATTTCATGTTTCCTTACAAGTGCATTTATGCTGGTTACTCTCCATCCTGTTACAGTTTACTACTAGTCCTGTTCAGTTTTTGCAATATCCTGTGTTCCTGCTTTTTAAAAACAATTGTTCTAACTTCTGCCCTATAGCATAAAAGTGAAAACTGTAAAGAAAAAAATGATTAAGATTAATAAACATTACAATGAAAACACAAAGGTTTGAAAATAGTGGGTGGGTTAAACAAGATAGAGGACAGAAAGAATGAAGTAGGTAGGGAGAGGCAAGGGGTGGGGATTTACATTGGAAATGAGACATTGGGGAGCACTTAAAGATGTCATGTGAACTGGTAGTACCAGTGTGACCTAGTGCATCCAGCAAGAAATATACTATTGTGATTGGGTTCCTTTGTATCTGTGGGCGGGCCCTGGGTTTCGGCGGGAAGAACAGAAGGAAAAGAGCAACCGGTACAAATAACGATTCTTTATTTGTTTTAACATCAGAAATTCTCAAACCAAAAGGATCCAACTCGTTCAACTCCAGCAACAATTTGTAACTTTTAACTTTCTCGAATTCCACACTTCTACCATTTCTTAATCTTTCTTCACCCCAAAGTGCTTGGTATAACTTTGTTCCACACCGGGAAACTCAATACTGCACACATTGTCCCGCAACATGGCTGTTTCTGTAGTCTCCCTTCAGACGGGGGAAGATAGCTGTTGACACCAAAAAGGGTCTCCTTCTTCCCCGTATCCTGTGTAGGACAAACCACTCCCATATTCCATCCTGATCTAGTCTTTCTTAATCCCACCAGGAGGATCTGGCAGCAGACCTCCTCCTGTCTTTAAGTTGGGAATTTCCTTTAGAAGATTTATGAATTTGTACCTTGCCTCTCCTGTTTCTTCCGTCTGTACGCTCCTGTCATCTTTTCCTTTCTGCCACTCCTCCTTCTCCTCTTTTATCTCATCCCACTTCATCAGATCTAACTCCACCCACTTCTGTCTCTGTCTCCCCGCAGCCAAGAATACCTCAACCGCCTTGCTCCTCCCTATTTCCCCATCATCAATTTTAATCAGTTCTCCCACGACACATCCTTCAGTCACTCCTAGCTGATTCTTCGGGGAGGATGGCACACTTGGTGGCTATCTCTCACATACTAGGATATCAATTGAAGTTTATAACAAAAAGCACCAGAACGACCCAGAGCCACCCCATCCTAGAAAGAGTGGAGACAACACCACAGTATGGATGAGCCCTTACATTTACAATTCCCTTGATGTAAAATTAAGCTAGTCAGGGTGACAATACTTCATAGAGAGCTGGGACTGCTACATTTTCATACAGATACAACAAAACAGCAGCACTTTGGTATTACTTCCAGCAGGTTTTTAGACTGTACCTATTGGATATCTTGATCGCCTCTTCAAGGATCTCATCCATCCACAAAAAATCTCTATTGTGGACATTTTGCAGGAAATCTTCAAGTTTCTTTTGTGCCTCCTTTTCCAGGTTCACGAGAGATACCATCTTGAACAACAGCTTGACCTGGAAAAAACAAATATCTTATTTTTGGTCAAGCCAAAGAAAAACAAAAATCCCAATGCTGCAATCTAAAGCAACAACAAGCCTTAACATGTGCTTATCTGAAACATCACTTTCTCTGCTCTGCACTGCTTATTTTAACAATTGGTATTTAATGCTCCATGAACTTTAAAAAAATTAATTTCATATTCAGAAGGATGAGCATCGATCCTAGCCAAGTGCAAATATTACAACAGTGTTGCAGAATCTGCATTGGCTGCCAGCCTACCCCAGAGCTAAGTTTATGGTTCTTGTGCCACTACAGAAAGCTCTGCTTGTACTGTAACAAGGTTAGTTCAAGGAATGTTTCCTAAAGCCTATGGCTTTAAGGAGAAACATTGCTGTCTATACTGCAGCCTCAAGATTTCCACTCTGAGGTAGCATAGAGAAGATGTGCCTCAAAATCTAAAAATATTACAGATGTGCCAATTTGCAAAACACTCTCTACAAGGTATCAGATCTCAGTGTTGGCAAAATTAAGTTTAAGCAACTTTTCCCTCCATATATGGTAACTTTTATAATGTATTGTCATGCATTTCATCAGATAAACTATGCATAAACATCTAACAACACCAAACCAGAAATCACTTGTCAATGCAAAGTACTTAGGAATAATTTTAAAGGAAATTTTACCACCTCAATTTGGCTGCAAGACTCTAAAGCAGAAATACAGGACATCAGCAATTTATTATAGTGGTCTAATAAAGGTATCAGCTGGCTGGATAGCTCAGTTCATAAGTTAGCCCAGGTCCCTACTGTGCATCCCAAAGGAACCAGTGCATGCAGCTTTGGGCAACTTGCAGCCCCAGGATGCTCCTAGGAGGAGGGAATAGTAAACCACTTCTGACTACTCTCTATCGAGAAATTCCTGAAAGCAGTCACCATGTCAGAACTAACCTAACGGCACAAAATTATTAAATAAAAGTACAACCTTGTTTTCAGGTTGGGCACACTTTTATCCATTTTAACAAGCAAGTTGGTCCAGACAGGGCCTTTTGGTGAACAGTACATGAGAAGTAGTTATTGATAATGGTAATATACAAACCAGGATTACAGTAGTTAAATCTCAACATCATAGAATCAAGGAATCATGAAGTTGAAAGGGACCTATAAGACCATCAGTGTAGGAACACAAATCAAAGGATATCTGTCAGGTGGCTGTCTAAATTTCTCTTGAATGTCTCCAATGTTGGAGCACTCGCCGCCTCTCTGTTGGAAAAAAAGGCTTTCAGACACTGAGACAAAATATAAATAATAATCTTTATCTGGTTCTCGTAGGAAAAGGGTAAACAGAACATCCTAAGAAAATAAGAAATACTAAAACTACATTACAAAATAGTAAAGGGAAAAAGGCAGCAACTGAGGCAATGCCCACAAACCTAGGCAAGCACACACAGTCTCTGCCATGCTCTGTCAGTCAGCACCATCGAAGGAGCGTGTAAAGGAGAGGGACAGGGAGAGAGAGATAAGGCTTTATATAGAGGCTAATTAATTATAAGAGACTGGTGAGATCTTTAAGTATATTAACCCAATGTGGGTAAAATGTTAGATCTTGCAATATACCAACACTCTCAAAGCAATTGGTTCCATTGCTATACTGCTCTAACAGTTTGGAAGTTTTTCCTCATTGTTTATTGTTTAGTCGTGTCTGACTCTTCGTGACCCCATGGACCAGAGCATGCCAGGCCGTCCTGTCTTCCACTGCCTCCTGGAGCTGGGCCAAATTCATGTTGGTCCCTCGATGACACTGTCCAACCATCTCATCCTCTGTCGTCCCCTTCTCCTCTTGCCATCACACTTTCCTAACATCAAGGTCTTTTCCAGGGAGTCCCCTCTTCTCATGAGATGGCCAAAGTATTGGAGCCTCAGCTTCAGGATCTGTCCTTCCAGTGAGCACTCAGGTTTGATTTCCTTCAGAATGGATTGGTTTGTTCTCCTTGCAGTCCAGGGGACTTTCAAGAGTTTCCTCCAGCACCACAATTCAAAAGCATCAATTCTTCGGCAGTCAGCTTTCTTTATGGTCCAGCTCTCACTTCCGTACATCACTACAGGAAAAACCATAGCTTTGACTATTCGGACTTTTGTTGGCAAAGACATGTCTCTGCTTTTTAAGATGCTGTCGAGGTTTGTCATTGCTTTCCTCCCAAGAAGGCAT